ACAAAAACTCAAGGGGATACATTTCTGCTGTCAAGTCTGGTGGCAGCGAAAGTGGGTAGGGTGGGGCTTTATAATTCCAGACAGCCTTTGTCTGTCAGCTGTCATCAAGGTCCAAGCTCTTTCACAAAGGGATTGCACCTTGGTTAGTGCAATCAAGGTTCCTTGGGATGTCCCTTACCTTAACCCCTAACCTTAAACCTTACCTTAACCCTTACCTAACCTTAACCTTAACGGTTTTAAATTCCAACTTCAATCGGGTGACCGTTAGTGGTGCCTGGAGAAGTGGGTATACTCACATTTTGCCCAACATTTCCCAAATAGCCCGCCCGGCGAAGGAAAGTCACCCTGTGTGAAAAATTCTATGAAATAGAGTGACATACACTTTGAATGACCTAAAATGATAAATCTCATATTGGTCTTTCACAGTCAGGTCAGCCCAAGCTGTACTGCAAGTTGTACTGTGCAAGTAGGCTAATAGTAGGCCTACTATTGAAAGATAAATGAACTCGTCAACTGAGTCAGAAATTCACAGGTTTTCGCTCTCAAACGAACACTTTTTTAATAGAAAAACAACAAAATTGGATGTTCTAAGTCCACAACAATGCTTAAACCACATCAGGAGACCACTTTTGAGGTCTTGGAAAAATCTATGGAATATAGATTTTTGAGTGTACTTACCCTTTAATTCAACTGAGCAGGCACCTAGCACTGTTGTTTGGTCAGCAGTATTTCTGTAGTGCAAATTTGATGGAGTTTGCTAAACAAATGGCCACTAGATTGATGCAAATAATCATGATATCATTCTGCCAGGTAGGCATAAGCTACTTTGTAGCTAGTTGGGGAAAGCTTTTCCATCTAGGCTACTAGAAGACTGATAGGCCTATCATTAGCATCACTATATATTTTCCTGTTCCTTAATTGTTTTAATCCTGGATATTTTATTTCATATTATGAGTCATGGCTTACCTTGCTGCAAAGTAGCCTATAGACAAAATCCCACCAGGAAAATGTGGAGGCAATTAATTACTTCCTCGTGCACTTTCCTGTTCTATTGGTTTTCAAATAAACTTTCTTTCATTGTCTAGCAGCCAAAGGCATTATTCTAGTCATATTAGCAATCAATGATAGTTGTTGCATCTTTAGATTTCCCTTTTTCGAAATTTAGAACGGATATTTCCATCTCTGTCCATGAAACCGCTTGCATGTGCAGTGCGCATTTTAGAACAGGGGATTCTTTTTTAAAAACATTTGCACATAGGCCTACTGCCGTGTGCACATTGCTGCACTTAAAATGTGAAGAAATAATAGTTTATCAACATTTTAAGCTAAACTTTCTGATCTGTTCCATCAACCTTATTAATGGATACAGTGTATAGCTCCACTACACTACTTTGATACGCATCGTAGGGATTAAGAAGTGAGTATACGCAATGCCCACAAAAAAAAGTGGGTATATGGCATATACCTGTGTATACCCTCCACTACACCACTGGTGACAGGTGAATCTCATTGACACTTTTCCATTGCGCCCCTCGCGTGTTCGTCAAGTGAAAGACCCGCAGTAATGGCTTTCACTTTCAGTAGATTACCCGCATGAAGCCGCTGAAATTACTAGATCACTAATCATCAATGAGGCCCCGATAGTTGTGTCAAGCTGCAAATGATCTTGGACCAAAGGAAACGGTTGTGTTTTGATTGTCTATGCTCGATTACATTAAATATAAGATTCCTTCAATATAACAATCGAGTTAATACATTCTGAAAGCATGAACAAGTGCTCAAGATTTAGAGCCATTGCTCATTAGATCATATTTAGCTTGAAATTCACTGTTTTTCTGGACAGTGAGGCTACTTTGTCCTTGAACTATTCACTTGTGTTTCCCTTATGTATAGACTACTGTTATAATATTATTATAGGCTACTATTATACACTATTTGTCAATGTACTAAAGTAGGCCTTCATTGACAAACCTCTACTTATACATTACATGGACGGACAAAGCTATAGGCTACTGTGACACAGTACCATGGTTGCAGTACGTACTGGCTGCTGTTTGTCATTGGTGTGGCTTGAGCATGTGACTCATCACGGCAAGTGACTCATGGCAATGTGTCATTGTCATTGCTAGTTTTAAACGTTATACTCATAGCCTAAGTGCTTTAGTGAAGACTGAACAGTAGGTCCACACTTTGATACAGTGATCAATATCTCACTAATAGGCTTCTGGGAAGTCTCCAACACTGACTCAACCCACCCAAAAATGGCAAGGATTCTATGGTGTTCCCAAGTGGTTTAAGGAAACAATTCATAAATATTTATATTTTCAGAAGTGATGAACTCTCAGCTGGATATTCTGTTGAACACAGAAACAATGAGTTGGACACTTTGGAGAGACTCATGGCTGGCTCAGACCAATATCTAGACCAAAGCCGCTACATTGTAGACCATCTCTGGCTATTCTCCGCTTTCGTTATAAACCTAGACAGATATAGTTTGAGACATGTCTATTGTTGATAAGTGGAGAAAAGGGGGTTGATATGTAACGTAAATATTATTAACGGAGTCATGCTCTTAAAAGCTCTAGTCTGGCTTTAGCTTAGCATTCCTCCGTGTACAGGCCGGCTACACATTGGGCTTCTCCAAACAGCAGTGTGTGCTGGAGTCCTAAGGGGCTTTCAGCATCGTGGAATACTTGACCATATAAGGGTGCAGACAGCCTTGACGGGGCAAGACGGACAACACTGGTGTTTGAAGTCCGTCTGAGAAGTGACGTCGGACTGAATGATGCGAATGTGAGGGAGGAAAGAGTGCTACAATATGGGCTGTGACTACAAACTCTGGAATTAGCCTTAGTATGCATCCCAACTGGCACTCTATTCCCTATGGGCCCTGGTCAAAAGTATTACAATATATAGGGAGTATGGTGGCATTTGAGACGCAGACCTAGTCTAGTGAGTCTGGTTTGATTCGAAAAGGTGGCAACACAGAACTTTAGAGCTGCTTTTATATTTGACCAAAATAGGCACTGAAGTAAAGGAATCAGAAGAAGAGAATGCATGCAAATGGTTGAGAAAAGTAGGCTTAAGCGTCAAATGTGGAATATATCTGAGGGGGAGATTAGTGGATTAGGGATTAATGGGACATCCAATTCTGTATTTGAGTTTAGTAAGATTATGTTTTCCTAGCACATCTCTGTTAGGCATGTTTATACCCAAATGTCAAGCTATACAGTAATGCCAGGTGTACACTACACGACTTTCAAAATCCTAACATTTCTGAGCCTCTCACATTAAACAACCGTCTTTCCTGTAGTATTTTATCTTGCCAATGTAGTGGTACGCACACTAAACGATGTGGCACAGACGGGGTGTCACACACTACAGGATTCTTCACTTGGTTGTGAGGATTCTCCATACCACCATGCTGTCTCGCCAAAACAATGATGTGATTAGATTCTTAACGTAGCTAGAACAAAGAAGCCTCAGAGACGTTTTCAGTCAATCATTCACACCTGCCATACAGAGTTGAAATATCTAGCCAACATTTTTTATCGAATAACATTGCTTGTGAAATTCAGAGCTGTAATGCTTTGACACTTTGGCTTTGGTTAAAGGCAAGTACAAACGCATACTGGTAGTAGCTCAAGTGTCTACACATTCTGGGTGATGCGAAACGACGTCATCATCTCACTGGCTTCTTCTCTGACGAGCTCTCATTAGCTATTGCTGATCACCTTTCTCAAAACGTATCATTGCACATCTCACACTACAAGATCATTGCAGATTTTGTGTCAATAAAATCAAACATGTTTGAAAATATTGGGATGTCTGGGTCTGCTCAAAGACGGGATCTGTAGATTGCATCGCTGACCCGCTCAGATTAAATAAGTGTCGGTGACGGCCACACGCCCTGAAGCAATTGCATGGGGATTTTGTCTCCAATCTCAAAAACTTGTTTGGGACAGCTAAATGGGGGCCAAAATTGTGTAGTGTACACCCGGCAAAAAACAGAACATTGTAGATTCTGCTAACTAGGGAATTTGAAGAGGCCACTCCAAAACAACTAGGCCTAAGTAAGTATTGACTCCACCATATGAACTACAGTAAATACACTACAGGTCCAAAAGTATGCAGACACCTGCTTGTTGAACATCTCATTCCAAAATCATGGGCATTAATATGGAGTTGGTCCCCGCTTTGCTGCTATAATAGTCTCCACTCTTCTGGGAAGGCTTTCCACTAGATGTTGGAACATTGCTTTGGGGACTTTCTTCCATTTAGCCACAAGGGCATTATTGAGGTTGGGCACTGATGTTGGGCGATAAGGCCTGGCTCGCAGTTGGCATTCCAATTCATCCCAAAGGTGTTCGATGGGGTTGAGGTCAGGGCTCTGTGCAGGCCAGGCATTGCGGATGGTGAACATAGGTTTGTGTGCGGCTGCTCGGCCATATTAACCCATTTCATGAAGCTCCTGACGAACAGTTCTTGTGCTGACGTTGCTTCCAGAGGCAGTTTGGAACTCGGTAGTGAGTGTTGCAACCGATGACATACGGTTTTTACGCGCTACGCGCTTTAGCACTCTGCCGTGAGCTTGAGTGGCCTACCACTTCGTGGCTGAGCCGTTGTTGCTCCTAGACGTTTCCACTTCACAATAACAGCACTTACAGTTGACCGGGGCAGCTCTAGCAGGGCAGAAATTTGACGAACTGACTTGTTGGAAAGGTGGCATCCTATGACGGTGCCACGTTGAAAGTCATTTAGCTCTTCAGTACGGGCCATTCTACTGCCAATGTTTGTCTATGGAGATTGCTTGGCTGTGTGCTCGATTTATACACCTGTCAGCAATGGGTGTGGCTGAAATAGCCGAATCCACTAATTTGAAGGATACTTTTGTATATATAGTTTATCAAGTCCTGGCCTGAAACTCCCTACTGTATGAAATCATTTCTCGAGACAGGTAAAGTATGTTAATCTCATTCATGTGCTATGTCTGTTGGCAGATGAGCCTGGGCCACGAGATTGGTGCTGGAGCCGCGTGCCTGAAATGCAAGGACAAATGCGAGGGGTTCGAGCTGCACTTCTGGAGGTTTGTACTGCTCTCTGCTCTGTTGACCCAGCATGGTCAGAAAAGGAGGAAAGTAAGTTTGAAAAAACTAGTTTTTACATGTGCACCGGATCAGTTTACATGCAAAAACATGTTTTTTCTATCCGGTGCACATGCAAAAACATATATTTTCTTACTTTTCATTTATTGAATTCAATATGAACCAGACCCAGTGTGGCCAACAACAGTGCTTGTTTTCTCTTTGCTTCACAACAGGGAAAGCCACAGCCCCCCAAAGCATGTAGCACCTGATTCTTGTTGTGTTTAGTACAGTTTCCAGTCCTCTGTAGAACTAAAGGGGCCTACATTCCTTAGACTTCCTGTCTGATTCCCTGACTTACAATGCAGTCATTATCTGGACCAATGACTCATGAAAATAGATGTGTGTCCCACTGTTCCCTCACGCCAATTAAGCCAGCATTCCTTTTTCCCGCGTACCCAGACAATTATCCACACCCGGCTAGCTTTCTGGAAGACATCACAACAGGTGCCCTGGTGCCTACTGCAGTGGCCGGTCAATATGGCAACACCTAACCGCCACAATGACACACAGCCCACTGGGTACAAACTGGTTGAATCAACGTTGTTTCAACGTAATTTGTCACACATTGTGATGTGAAATCTACGTGGAAAATACATTGGATTTGCAAAAACAGTAGTTTTGAGGGTGAAATTTCAACCACAGGATTATGTCATTATTGTAACCCATTTTCAACATAGACAAACCTTGTATACAGTGGGGAAAAAAAGTATTTAGTCAGCCACAAATTGTGCAAGTTCTCCCACTTAAAAAGATGAGAGAGGCCTGTAATTTTCATCATAGGTACACGTCAACTATGACAGACAAAATGAGATTTTTTTCCCCAGAAAATCACATTGTAGGATTTTTAATGAATATATTTGCAAATTATGGTGGAAAATAAGTATTTGGTCACCTACAAACAAGCAAGATTTCTGGCTCTCACAGACCTGTAACTTCTTCTTTAAGAGGCTCCTCTGTCCTCCACTCGTTACCTGTATTAATGGCACCTGTTTGAACTTGTTATCAGTATAAAAGACACCTGTCCACAACCTCAAACAGTCACACTCCAAACTCCACTATGGCCAAGACCAAAGAGCTGTCAAAGGACACCAGAAACAAAATTGGAGACCTGCACCAGGCTGGGAAGACTGAATCTGCAATAGGTAAGCAGCAAATCCTGCAGTTCCCTCACGACGCCAGGACAGCGGAGTCACTCACCACCTTCCGGAGACATTTGAAACCCCACCTCTTTAAGGAATACCTGGGATAGGCTAAAGTATTCCTTCTAACCCCCCCCCCCCCCCCCCCCCCCCCCCCCAAATTGTAAAGTGGTTATCCCACTGGCTATAGGGTGAACGCACCAATTTGTGAGTCGCTCTGGCTAAGAGCGTCTGCTAAATGACGTTAATGTGCCCTTGAGCAAGGCACTTAACCCTAATTGCTCCTGTAAGTCGCTCTGGTTAAGAGCGTCTGCTAAATGACTAAAATGTAAATGTAAATGTAAGCTTGGTTTGAAGAAATCAACTGTGGGAGCAATTATTAGGAAATGGAAGACATACAAGACCACTGATAATCTCCCTCGATCTGGGGCTCCACGCAAGATCTCACCCCGTGCGGTCAAAATGATCACAAGAACGGTGAGCAAAAATCCCAGAACCACACGGGGGGACCTAGTGAATGACCTGCAGAGAGCTGGGACCAAAGTAACAAAGCCTACCATCAGTAACACACTACGCCGCCAGGGACTCAAATCCTGCAGTGCCAGACGTGTCCCCCTGCTTAAGCCAGTACATGTCCAGCCCCGTCTGAAGTTTGCTAGAGTGCATTTGGATGATCCAGAAGAGGATTGGGAGAATGTCATATGGTCAGATGAAACCAAAATATAACTTTTTGGTAAAAACTCAACTCGTCGTGTTTGGAGGACAAAGAATGCTGAGTTGCATCCAAAGAACACCATACCTACTGTGAAGCATGGGGGTGGAAACATCATGCTTTGGGGCAGTTTTTCTGCAAAGGGACCAGGACGACTGATCCGTGTAAAGGAAAGAATGAATGGGGCCATGTATCGTGAGATTTTGAGTGAAAACCTCCTTCCATCAGCAAGGGCATTGAAGATGAAACGTGGCTGGGTCTTTCAGCATGACAATGATCCCAAACACACCACCCGGGCAACGAAGGAGTGGCTTCGTAAGAAGCATTTCAAGGTCCTGGAGTGGCCTAGCCAGTCTCCAGATCTCAACCCCATAGAAAATCTTTGGAGGGAGTTGAAAGTCCGTGTTACCCAGCGACAGCCCCAAAACATCCCTGCTCTAGAGGAGATCTGCATGGAGGAATGGGCCAAAATACCAGCAACAGTGTGTGAAAACCTTGTGAAGACTTAAAGAAAACGTTTGACCTGTGTCATTGCCAACAAAGGGTATATAACAAAGTATTGAGAAACTTTTGTTATTGACCAAATACTTATTTTCCACCATAATTTGCAAATCAATTCATAAAAAATCCTACAATGTGATTTTCTGGATTTTTTTATCTAATTTTGTCTGTCATAGTTGACGTGCACCTATGATGAAAATTACAGGCCTCTCTCATCTTTTTAAGTGGGAGAACTTGCACAATTGGTGGCTGACTAAATACTTTTTTCTCCCACTGTAAAATATGTTGTATTTGTACCTTTGAAACAACATCAGATCTTCAACGTTATATCCACTATCAGAAAAAAAGCATAGGCTGGCTAGCATCTTCTACAGTTATCCATTTGGTCTCCCATCCAGGGTTTTAAAAAGCCCAGCCCTGCTTAGTTTTGATATTTATCACTGACTACTTCCGAATGTGCTATCGTGAGAGTGATTGAGAGTTATCTTAATAAATAAATAGATTCACTGTTGCTATTAAAGTCATTCCAAATGATAGGTTTAACAGAGCAAATTAAATGTAACCTTTTGTAATGTAAAGCTTTATAAATCATATATCATCAATTATGATATTTAGGCCTATATACAAGTATTTGATCCCCTGCTGATTTTGTACGTTTGCCCACTGACAAAGAAATGATCAGTCTATAATTTTAATGGTAGGTTTATTTGAACAGTGAGAGACAGAATAACAACAACAAATTTCAGAAAAACGCATGTCAAAAATGTTATAAATTGATTTACATTTTAATGAGGGAAATAAGTATTTGACCCCCTCTCAATCAGAAAGATTTTGGGCTCCCAGGTGTCTTTTATACAGGTAACGAGCTGAGATTAGGAGCACACTCTTAAAGGGAGTGCTCCTAATCTCAGTTTGTTACCTGTATAAAAGACACCTGTCCACAGAAGCAATCAATCAATCAGGTTCCAAACTCTCCACCATGGCCAAGACCAAAGAGCTCTACAAAGATGTCAGGGACAAGATTGTAGACCTACACAAGGCTGGAATGGGCTACAAGACCATCGCCAAGCAGCTTGGTGAGAAGGTGACAACAGTTGGTCTGATTATTCGCAAATGGAAGAAACACAAAATAACTGTCAATCTCCCTCTGCCTGGGGCTCCATGCAAGATCTCACCTCGTGGAGTTGCAATGATCATGAGAACGGTGAGGAATCAGCCCAGAACTACACGGGAGGATCTTGTCAATGATCTCAAGGCAGCTGGGACCATAGTCACCAAGAAAACAATTGGTAACACACTATGCCGTGAAGGACTGAAATCCTGCAGCGCCCACAAGGTCCCCCTGCTCAAGAAAGCACATATACAGGCCCGTCTGAAGTTTGCCAATGAACATCTGAATGATTCAGAGGAGAACTGGGTGAAAGTGTTGTGGTCAGATGAGACCAAAATCGAGCTCTTTGGCATCAACTCAACTCGCCGTGTTTGGAGGAGGAGGAATGCTGACTATGACCCCAAGAACACCATCCCCACCGTCAAACATGGAGGTGGAAACATTATGCTTTGGGGATCTTTTTATGCTAAGGGGACAGGACAACCTCACCGCATCAAAGGGACGATGGACGGGGCCATGTACCGTCAAATCTTGGGTGAGAACGTCCTTCCCTCAGCCAGGGCATTGAAAATGGGTCGTGGATGGGTATTCCAGCATGGCATTTACCCAAAACACACGGCCAGGGCAACAAAGGAGTGGCTCAAGAAGAAGCACATGAAGGTCCTGGAGTGGCCTAGCCAGTCTCCAGACCTTAATCCCATAGAAAATCTGTGGAGGGAGCCGAAGGTTCGAGTTGCCAAACGTCAGCCTCGAAACCTTAATGACTTGGAGAAGATCTGCAAAGAGGAGTGGGACAAAATGCCTCCTGAGATGAGTGCAAACCTGGTGGCCAACGACAAGAAACGTCTGACCTCTGTGATTGCCAACAAGGGTTTTGCCACCAAGTACTAAGTCATGTTTTGCAGAGGGGTCAAATACTTATTACCCTCATTAAAATGCAAATCAAATTATAACATTATTGACATGCGTTTTTCTGGATTTTTTTGTTGTTATTCTGTCTCTCACTGTTTAAATAAACCTACCATTAAAATTATAGACTGATCATTTCTTTGTCAGTGGGCAAACGTATGTCACGATCGTTTAAAGACTGGTCGAACCAAGGCGCAGCGTGATAAGCGTACATGTTTATTAAACGAATAAACACACGACAAAACAACAAACAAACGATACGTGAAGTCTTAAGGTACACACAACAAACCTATACGGAACATACACACCCTGACTCAACAAATAAACGTCCCCTGAGTCAGGGCGTGACAGTACCCCCCCCCCCCCCCCAAAGGTGCGGACTCCGACCGCGCCACATAAACATAACAGGGTAGGGGCCGGGTGGGCATTCCGCCTCGGAGGCGGATCCGGCTCCGGGCGTGACCACCACTTTCTCTCCACCTCCCTGTTGCGCCCCTGGTTTGGTCTGGACCTCGGCGTGCTGCTTCCCCTCTCCTTCCTCCCACGAAGTACCAAGCCCTGTCTGGACCCTGGTGTGGGAGACCCCGAACCTGGAGAGGGGCTGACGTCTGGGTCTGGACTGGAACCGCTGACTGGAGCTGGACCCGACGACGGTGGATCGAACTGCACAGGCTCCGGACTGGAGCTGCTGACCGGAGCTGGACTGGGCACCGGTGGAGCGGATTGCTCTGGCTCCGGAGTGGAGCAGCTAACTGGAGCTGGATCAGGCACCGGTGGAGCGGACTGCTCTGGCTCCGGAGTGGAGCAGCTGACCGGTGCCGGACCAGGCACCGGTGGGACAGGCACAGGCTGTGCCGGACTGGACACACGCACCACTGGTTTGGTGCGAGGAGCAGGAACAGGCCGGACCGGGCTGGCGATGCGCACCACTGGCTTGGTGCGAGGGGCAGGAACAGGCCGGGCCGGGCTGGCGACGCGCACCACTGGCTTGGTGCGAGGGGCAGGAACAGGCCGGACCGGGCTGGCGACGCGCACCACTGGCTTGGTGCGAGGGACAGGAACAGGCCGGACCGGGCTGGAGACGCGCACCACTGGCTTGGTGCGGGGAGCAGGAACGGGCCGGGCCGGACTGGGAACACGCACCACTGGCTTGGTGCGGGGAGCAGGAACGGGCCGTACCGGACTGTGGAGGCGGACTGGAGGTCTGGAGCGGAGAGCTGACACAACCCGTCCTGGCTGGATGCCTACTTCCACACAATATGTGTGAGGCATTAGCACAGGACGTACGGGGCTGTGCACGCGTACTGGCGATACATTACGTAGCACCGGCGCAGGATATACGGGACCGAGGAGGCGTACTGGAGGCCATGAGCGTTGAGCCGGAACACCCCGTCCTGGCTGAATGCCCATCTTCGCACGACACGTGCGTGGTGCCAGCACAGGACGTACAGGACTGTGCCGGAACACTCGCGGCACAGTACGTAGCTCCGCATAACACGGAGCCTGCCCAGTCACACGCTTCCTTGCATGAGTATGGGGAGTTGGCTCTGCTCTAACACTAGGCTCCGCCAACCACCCTTATAGCCCCCCCACAGAAAGATTTGACCGTGGTTCAACTGTAAATATCACAGATAGAAAGGAGCTTAGTTACCAATATCTTTGTTAATACGGCTTGTTAAATATTTTTTTAGTTTAGTTGATTTCAAATGTAATCTTCAAGTTAATAATTAGTATGTTGGATTCACGTCTCCATCTAAACCAAAAATCAATGATAAAGAATATGTCACGCCCTGGCTCTGGGGACTCTTATATGTTGAGCCAGGGTGTGGATTTTCTATGTTTTGTTTTCTATGTTTTTGTTTCTAGATCGTGTTGATCTATGTTGACCAGGGTGGTTCCCAATCAGAGACAGCTGTAGCTTGTTGTCTCTGATTGGGGACCATACTTACGCAGCCTGTTTTCACTAGTTTATTGTGGGATCTTGTTCCGTAAGGTTTTGTGTATAACCTAGGACTTCACGTATCATTTGGTTTATTGTTTTGGTTCGTGTTGTGTACACATTAAAGAATGTACGCTTATCACGCTGCGCCTTGGTCCGCTTCATCTGTCGACGATCGTGACAGAAGATCCCACCACCAGAGGACCAAGCAGCGTGCCCAGGAGGAGAAGTTGGCGATGTCCCAGGTCGGCGAATGGTGGTCATGGGAGGACATATTCGCGGGCAGAGGGCCATGGGCAAAAGTAAATGCCCAGGCAGGAGAGGAGAAACGGCGCCAACCGTGCCGACGACGGACACGCGAGAGGCAACCCCAAGAAATGTTTTGGGGGGGGGCACACGGCATGGACGACGGGGCTACTGGAGGCAGCTAAAGGACGAATCAGCGGACTAGGAGAGGAGGCCACCAGGTTTGGGGGGCTGGAAGGGTGGTTGGCGGAGCCTAGAGGTAGAGCAGAGCCAACTCCCCGTACTCAGGCTAGGCAGCGTGAGACTGGGCAGGTTCCGTGTTATGCGGAGCCACGTACTGTTCCGGTACAGTCCTGTACGTCCTGTGCTAGCACCACGCATGTGTCGTGCTGAGGTGGGCATGCAGCCAGGACGGAGTGTGCCGGCTCAGCGCTCGTGGCCTCCAGTACCCCTCCTCGGTCCCGGATATCCTGCGCCAGTGCCACGTGCTGTAGTGCCAGTACGAGTGCACAGCCCTGTACGTCCTGTGCTGATGCCTCACACAGATTGTGTGGAAATAGGCATTCAGCCAGGACGGGTTGTGTCAGCTCTCCGCTCCAGACCTCCAGTCCGTCTCCACAGTCCAGCCCGGCCTGTTCCTGTCCCTCGCACCAAACCAGTGGTGCGCGTCGCCAGCCCTGTCCGGCCTGTTCCTGTCCCTCGCACCAAACCAGTGGTGCGCGTCGCCAGCCCGTTCCGGCCCGTTCCTGCTCCCCGCACCAAGCCAGTGGTGTGCGTCGCCAGCCCGGTCCGGCCTGTTCCTGCTCCCCGCACCAAGCCAGTGGTGCGCGTCATCAGCCCGGTCCGGCCCGTTCCTGCTCCCCGCACCAAGCCAGTGGTGCGCGTCGTCAGCCCGGTCCGGCCCGTTCCTGCTCCCCGCACCAAGCCAGTGGTGCGCGTCGTCAGTCTGGCACGGTCCGTGCCTGTTCCAGACCAGACCAGGGGCGCAACGGGGGGGTAGAGAGAGAGTGGTGGTCACGCCCGGAGCCGGATCCGCCTCCGAGGCGGAATGCCCACCCGGCCCCTACCCTCTTGTGTTTGTGTGGCGCGGTCGCAGTCCGCGCATTTGGGGGGGGGGGTACTGTCACGCCCTGGCTCTGCGGACTCTTATATGTTGAGCCAGGGTGTGGATTTTCTATGTTTTATTTTCTATGTTTTTGTTTCTAGATCGTGTTGATCTATGTTGGCCAGGGTGGTTCCCAATCAGAGACAGCTGTAGCTCGTTGTCTCTGATTGGGGACCATACTTAGGCAGCCTGTTTTCACTAGTTTATTGTGGGATCTTGTTCCGTAAGGTTTTGTGTATAACCTAGGACTTCACGTATCGTTTGGTTTATTGTTTTTGTTCGTGTTGTGTACGCATTAAAGAATGTACGCTTATCACGCTGCGCCTTGGTCCGCTTCATCTGTCGATGATCGTGACAGAATAGGACTAGGCCTATATCAAATCAAATCAAAATCAAAATGCACTATACAATAATAGGCCTATGGTTCAAGCTCTGGTTGATTTAAAATGTAATGATAGTTAGTGATATTGAATTGTGTTTTGTTGTCAACGCAACCAAATATCAACATTTGAAGGAGAGGTTACTTCTACTTGGATAGTTCCATCTGTGCCACTGATTTAGTCTGGCTTAAATTCCAGTTTGTCTACAAATTAATAACTGTAAAATAATAATACGAACTAATGTAACAGTATTTATTCAACCATAAAATGAGTAACACATCCATGGCCACATTTTGAGTTTACATCGGTCCCTGATTCAAATCTTTTAAAATAGACAGCATCAGTCTGCGGACCCCAAACCGATCCAAATGTAGCATTGGTCAGAAAATTGATTCAAACGTTACGAATCGGCGGTTCAATTTTTTTCTTCTTCTCATATTACTTTCTTTCTATCTTCCAAAAATACCAAATATTTTGTGACAACTGATGCGTCCTCTCCTTCAGTGTCAAACTAAGCATGTAACTGTGTTGACAGTCATTGATCTACAAAGCATTTTGCATGCCGAACAACCCCAGGGGATATCAGTAGCCTAGTCAAACTGCACAGCACCTTCAGCATTCAAACGCTAAAATGGCTTGAACGATATTAGTTGAGTGGCAACCTATGTCATTTGCTAGGTTATTGTTGTCTACTGTATGCACTGTTGAAAATGGTGTTTTACCGGAATAAAAGTAAGCTACCGGAGACACAACTCTCAACTGGCTATAGGCTACCTGCTGAACAGGGCTTACAATAGATTTTATTTGGATTATTCAAGTTCACCATCAGCAATAGTTTTCCTTTATACAATCAGTGTACATGGTCATATTTAGATATACTGTAGATAGACATTGTTTTTCCATTGGAATTTGATTGTGCTTTTAGATTGTTGAAAGCATGGTGATAACACATTGGGAATTCAACAAACTTCTGTCTTTTTGAGTGTGTGAATAAGGGTTCAATTCTCATTGATCAACGTCTCAACCAAATATTACCTAGATTTCCACGTTAAAATGACGTGATGTGTCCATGGGTCTTCGGTCTTGTCTGTGGCAATAAAAACGGAACTGGAAAGCTATTCTGTGTTATGGGGTGTCATTTATTTGTTTAGTACATTTTTGTTTGGGGGGGTTACAGGTACACTATCCATTTCAAATTATACATTTAAAAAACAAACCAAAAAAATAAACTGTAAGAAATACATACAGAGTTTAAAGCTGCAATATTTTTGATTATGGAAAATATATTCCACAGCTGTTTAATAGGTACAATGATTCTCGACACTATACTATGGCATTCTCTCAACCAGCTTAACCTGGAATGCTTTTCCAACTGCAGGAGTTCCCACATATGCTGAGCACTTGTTGGCTGATTTTCCTTCACTCTGCCGTCCGACTCATCCCAAAGCATCTCAATTGGGTTGAGGTCGGGGGATTATTGAGGCCAGGTCATCTGATGCAGCACTCCATCACGCTCCTTCTTAGTAAAATAGCCCTTACACAGCCTGGAGGTGTGTTGGGTCATTGTCCTGTTGAAAAACAAATGATAGTCCCACTAAGCCCAAACCAGATGGGATGGTGTATCTGTCGATGTGCCCTTGAGCAAGGCACTTAACCCTAATTGCTCCTGTAAGTCGCTCTGGATAAGAGCGTCTGCTAAATGACAAAAAAAAAATTAAAAAATAAAGAAGGAAATCACTCAGGGATTTCACCATGAGGGCAATCGTGACTTTAAAACAGTTACAGAGTTGAATGGATGTGATAGGAGAAAACTGAGGATGGATCAACGACATTGTAGTTACTCCACAATACTAACCTAAATGACAGAGTGAAAAGAAGGAAGCCTGTACAGAATAAAAATATTACAAAACATGCATCCTGTTTGCAATAAAGCACTAACGTAAAAATAATATGGCAAAGAAATGTACTTTATGTCCTGAATACAATGTGTTACGTTTGGGGAAAATCCAACACAACACATCACTGAGTACCACTGTATGCATCATCTTATGGGTATGCTTGTCATCGGCAAGGACTAAGGATTTTTTTGGGCTAAAAATAAACGGAATACAGGCAATATCCTAGAGGAAAACCTTGTTCAGTCTGCTTTCCAACAGATACTGGGAAACAAATTCACCTTTCAGCAGGACAATAACCTAAAACACAAGGCCAAATATACACTGGAGTTGCTTACCAAGACGACATTGAATGTTCCTGTGTGGCCTAGTTACAGTTTTGACTTAAACCGTCTGGATAATCTTTGGCTAGACTTGAAAATAGCTGTCTAGCAATGATCAACAATCAACTTGACAGAGCTTGAAGAATTTTTTAAATAATAATGTGAAAATATTGTACAATCCAGTTGTGCAAATCTCTTAGAGACTTACCCAGAAAGACCCACAGCTGTAATCGCTGCCAAAGTTGATTCTAACATGTATTGACTCAGGGGTGTGAATATTTATGTAAATGAGATATTTATGTGTTTCATTTTCAATAAATGTGCAAGAAATTCTAAAAACATGTGTTCACTTTAACATTATGGGGTATTGTGTGTAGATGGGTGAAAGAGAAAAAATCTATTTCATCCAGTTTTAACCTTTAAGAGATCGGTGTCCCGTATACGGGACTGTTGAGCTAAAGTGCGCTAATGTGATTAGCATGACTGTTGTAAGTAACAGCAAACTTTCCAGGACATAGACATGTCTTATATGGGCAGAAAGCTTACATTCTTGTTAATCTAACTGCACTGTCCAATTTACAGTAGCTATTACAGTGAAAAAATACCATGCTATTGTTTGAGGAGAGTGCACAACAACAAAAAGCGTATCACGGCAACTGGTTATCAGAGACCAACCCTTCTGCAAATGTCCCCCTTTTCAAACCACACACACGGACTTGTGACTGTCCCAAAAGTCATATATAATTCCCATTCCTTCTCTTCCATAACCACTGATCTGAAAAGACTTGTGTAAATTAGAGTGAAAACAATATGATAGAAACGTATCTATCAGTAGGGCCAGTAAAAAGCCTGGGCCTTTTACTTGCTTTACACTATAGGGCAGGGTTTCCCAAAATCGGTCCTCGGGACCTCAAGGGGTGCACGTTTTGGTATTTACCCTAGCACTACACAGCTCATTCAAATAATCAACTACTCATCAAGCTGTGTAGTGTTAGGGCAAAAACCAAAACCTGCACCCTTTGGGGTCCCGAGGACCGAGTTTGGGAAACGCTGCATAGAGCCTACTGTTTTTCCTGGTCAGATGATCATAAAGGAAACCTAGACATTTGAGAGTTCTTAGACACAACCAAAAATCTATTCTAACCTAACCCATTCCCTTTCCTTATTGACTTTCCCCTCCACAGAAAAATCTGCCGGAACTGTAAGTGTGGCCTGGCGGACCACGATGTTCAGATGAACTCTGAGGATAACAGGAAGGTTGGCAAGCTGTTTGAGGACACCAAGTACACGGGTCTCGTCGCCAAGCTCAAGACAGACAGCGTCCCCACATGCAAGGACAACCAGGTCACCTTCTCCATCTCCGCCAGCCCCATGTCAGCCACCACTGTACCAAACAGTCCCCACACTGTGCCAGCCAATGCTGGCTATGGTGCTGGGGCCAGGGCTGGGGCCGGAGCTGGGTCTGGTGCTAGGAATGGTGCTGGGGCTGGGGCTGGGGCCGGTTATGGGGCCAGTGCTTGGGCCAGTGCTGGGCCCGCTACCATGCCCAAACCAGGGGCAATCAGACCCAATGCTGTGTCAGCCAATGTCGTGCCAGTAAGGAAGGATGCCGTGCCCATGAAATCTGTCACCTACGAGTGGGCACCACCAGGGGTCAAACAGTATATGGTAAGGGTATAACTACTGTATCATATAATTAAAATACCTAGTAATCCCAAGAGTAGTAAAAACAGGTCTGAATCTGGTGCTGTTCCCTTTGCTTCTGGAAGGAATGGCATCATGCCAAGTCATCATAATGTTCTGTACAATGAAATATGATTGAATTAAAATCTTGAGGTCGCCATATAGTAGGCTTATGGGTCTGTAGTTGGTCTGGTTTAGTTCACTAATCAAGGCATTGGTGAATCGTAATGGAAGATATTGTCCTCTAGAGGTCGCCGACTTGAAGTTCTGTGCCACCAGTGCTCATGATCTCTTTGTATCCCTCAACAAGCAAATAAGTGTTAGGGAGAGGTTGTAAGATGTCCTCTCACAGCTGGTTGCCAGCTAGTCTGTTCCTTTCTGCCTCTTTATCTCTGTATCTCCATCCTTTTTGTATTCACTCTCTCACTCTGTTTGTGCCAATGACTATTCCTTCCTCTTTCCTTTTTATGTCCTCTCTGCCCCTCCTCTCATTGTTTTCTCTCTTCTCCTGTCTCTCTCCCTCTCTTCTCCTGTCTTCCCATCCCTTTCTTTTCTCCTCCCTTCACCTTAATAATGTCCTGATATCCTCTCGCTCTCCTCTCCACTTGGCCCTCATCAGGCGGTCCGCTACATTGAGCTCCTGCCCCCAGAGAGGCGTCCCATAGCGGGCACAGAGGGTGCAGCCTACCGCCGGCAACAGATGGCAGTGCAGCTACCGGAGCATGACCAGGACCCGGCCAAGTGCCACGAGCTGACCCCCGCAGAGGTCAAAGAGATGCAGCAGTTCGTCCGCAAGTACAAGGACGAGGCCCTGGGAGTGGGAGACATCAAGCTGCCTGAGGAGATGATGATGGGACAGTGTCTGGGTCAAGAGAGAGGTCCAGGACAGAGAGCACCAGGGATGGGAGAAACAGTGATGGGAGAACCAGAGATGGGAGCACCAGGGATGGCAGAACACCAAGGGATGGCAAGAGCCCCAGGTCGTGGGTCAAGTATTGGCTATGGGTCTGCCCTGGCTGATGGCCCTAGGGCTGGAGTTAGGCCTGGGGCTGGGGGAGCCTTTGGGCCTGGCCGTCGGTCTAGACCCGGGGCTGGGGGTGCACTCGGGCCAGCAGGACCAGTTCAGCCTAGGATGGGGGCTAAGGGTTACCCTGGGGCAGGAAAGGGTGCACCAGAAGACATGGGTACTGCTGCAACTGCTACCGCTGGGGAAATGGGCACTCCGGGAGCCCCTGGAGCTTACCTGGCTGGGCCCTATGGACAGTACGTAAGTGAGAGTGAGTGAGTGAGTGAGTGAGTATTGTAATAGCACTGGATAGGTTTAATCAATGTGACACCCACCTAGGGCTGGACCGGTTTGGGTTTTTACGTTACCTTTCAATGTTTGGTTTGTTAAATAAGATGCGCAACTCTGGCGCGTGTAATGTCAGTTTTTATAGTTTACTCCATTTGTTACTTGCAAAATGTACTCCGATTTTGTTTTTGGGGGTTCAATGCATTTATTGCTTTGAAATGTCTTCCAGAAACATTTGTTTTTTTACATGGCATATACAGTGCATTCGGAAAGTATTCAAACCCCTTCACGTTTTCCACATTTTGTAACGTTACAGCTTTATTCTAAAATTGATTAAATTGTTTTTTTCCCTCATCAATCTACACACAATACCCTATAATGACAAATGTTTGCAAATTTGTTCAATACTAAGTATTCAGACCCTTTGCTATGAGACTCGAAATTGAGCTCAGGTGCACCCTGTTTCCATTGATCACCCTTGATGTTTCTACAACTTCATTGGAGTCCACCTGTGGTAAATTAAATTGATTGGACATGATTTGGAAAGGCACACACCTGTATACAGTGGGGGGGAAAAGTATTTAGTCAGCCACCAATTGTGCAAGTTCTCCCACTTAAAAAGATGAGAGAGGCCTGTAACTTTCATCATAGGTACACGTCAACTATGACAGACAAAATGAGAAAAAATAATCCAGAAAATCACATTGTAGGATTTTTAATGAATTTATTTGCAAATTATGGTGGAAAATAAGTATTTGGTCAATAACAAAAGTTTCTCAATACTTTGTTATATACCCTTTGTTGGCAATGACACAGGTCAAACGTTTTCTGTAAGTCTTAACCAGGTTTTCACACACTGTTTCTGGTATTTTGGCCCATTCCTCCATGCAGATCTCCTCTAAAGCAGTGATGTTTTGGGGCTGTCGCTGGGCAACACGGACATTCAACTCCCTCCAAAGATTTTCTATGGGGTTGAGATCTAGAGACTGGCTAGGCCACTCCAGGACCTTGAAATGCTTCTTACGAAGCCACTCCTTCGTTGCCCGGGCAGTGTGTTTGGGATCATTGTCATGCTGAAAGACCCAGCCACGTTTCATCTTCAATGCCCTTGCTGATGGAAGGAGGTTTTCACTCAAAATCTCACGATACATGGCCCCATTCATTCTTTCCTTTACACGGATCAGTCGTCCTGGTCCCTTTGCAGAAAAACAGCCCCAAAGCATGATGTTTCCACCCCCATGCTTCACAGTAGGTATGGTGTTATTTGGATGCAACTCAGCATTCTTTGTCCTCCAAACACGACGTGTTGAGTTTTTACCAAAAAGTTATATTTTGGTTTCATCTGACCATATGACATTCTCCCAATCCTCTTCTGGATCATACAAATGCACTCTAGCAAACTTCAGACGGGCCTGGACATGTACTGGCTTAAGCAGGGGGACACGTCTGGCACTGCAGGATTTGAGTCCCTGGCGGCGTAGTGTGTTACTGATGGTAGGCTTTGTTACTTTGGTCCCAGCTCTCTGCAGGTCATTCACTAGGTCCCCCCGTGTGGTTCTGGGATTTTTGCTCACCGTTCTTGTGATCATTTTGACCCCACGGGGTGAGATCTTGCGTGGAGCCCCAGATCGAGGGAGATTATCAGTGGTCTTGTATGTCTTCCATCTCCTAATAATTGCTCCCACAGTTGATTTCTTCAAACCAAGCTGCTTACCTATTGCAGATTCAGTCTTCCCAGCCTGGTGCAGGTCTACAATTTTGTTTCTGGTGTCCTTTGACAGCTCTTTGGTCTTGGCCATAGTGAGGTTTGGAGTGTGACTGTTTGAGGTTGTGGACAGGTGTCTTTTATACTGATAACAAGTTCAAACAGGTGCCATTAATACAGGTAATGAGTGGAGGACAGAGGAGCCTCTTAAAGAAGAAGTTACAGGTCTGTGAGAGCCAGACATCTTGCTTGTTTGTAGGTGACCAAATACTTATTTTCCACCATAATTTGCAAATAAATTCATAAAAAAATCCTACAATGTGATTTTCTGGAGAAAAAAAATCTCAATATGTCTGTCATAGTTGACGTGTACCTATGATGAAAATTACAGGCCTCTCTCATCTTTTTAAGTGGGAGAACTTTCACAATTGGTGGCTGACTAAATACTTTTTTCCCCCACTGTATATAAGGTCCCACAGTTGACAGTGCATGTCAGAGCAAAAACCAAGCCTTGAGGTCAAAGGAATTGTCCGTAGAGGTCCGAGACAGTATTGTGTCGAGGCACAGATCTGTGGAAGGCTACCAAAAAATGTCTACGGTGGCCTCTATCATTCTTAAATGGAAGAAGTTTAGAACCACCAAGACTCTTCCTAGAGCTGGCCGTCCAGCCAAACTGAGCAATCGGGGGAGAAGGGCCTTGGTTAGGGAGGTGACCAAGAACCCGATGGTCACTCTGACAGAGCTCCAGAGTTCCTCCGTGGAAATGGGAGAACCTTCTAGAAGGATAACCATCTGTGCAGCACTCCACCAATCAGGCCTATATGGTAGAGTGGCCAGACAGAAGCCACTTCTCAGTAAAAAGCACATGACAGCCCGCTTGGAGTTTGCCAAAAGGCCCCTAAAGGACTCTCAGACCATGAGAAACAAGATTCTCTGGTCTGATGAAACCAAGATTGAACTCTTTGGCCTGAATGCCAAGCGTCACGTCTGGAGGAAACCTGGCAACACCCCTATGGTGAAGCATGGTGGTGGCAGCATCATGCTGTGGGGATGTTTTTCAGCAGCAGGGACTGGGAGACTAGTCAGAATCGAGGGAAAAATGAACAGAGTAAAGTACAGAGAGATCCTTGATGAAAACCTGCTCCAGAGTGCTCAGGACCTCAGACTGGGGCAAAGGTTCACCTTCCAACAGGACAACGACCCTAAGCACACAGCCAAGATAACGCAGGAGTGGCTTCGGGACAAGTCTCTGAATGTCCATGAGTGGCCCTGCCAGAGCCCGGACTTGAACCCGATCGAACATCTCTGGAGAGACCTAAAAATAGCTGTGCAGCGACGCTCCCCATCCAACCTGACAGAGATTGAGAGGATAAGCAGGGAAGAATGGGAGAAACTCCCCAAATACAGGTGTGCCAAGCTTGTAGCATCATATCTAAGAAGACTCGAGGCTGTAATAGCTGCCAAAGATGTTTCAAGAAAGTACTGAGTAAAGGGTCTGAATTCTTACAGTACCAGTCAAAAGTTTGGACACACCTACTCATTCCAGGGTTTTTCTTTATTTTTACTATTTTTTACATTGTAGAATAATAGTGAAGACATCAACACTATGAAATAACACATATGGAATCATGTAGTAACCATAAAAGTATATATTTGATATTCTTCAAAGTAGCCACCCTTTGCCTTGATGAGAGCTTTGCACACTCGTGGCATTCTCTCAACCAGCTTCATGAGGTAGTCACCTGGAATGCATTTCAATTAACAGGTGTGCCTAGTTTAAAGTTAATTTGTGGAATGCGTTTGAGCCATTCAGTTGTGTTGTGACAATGTAGGGGTTGTATACATAAGATAGCCCTATTTGGTAAAAGACCAAGTCCATAATATGACATGAATAGCTCAAATAAGCAAAGAGAAACGACAGTCCATCATTGCTTTAAGACATGAAGGTCAGTCAATCCAGAAAATTTCAAGAACTTTTAAAGTTTCTTCAAGTGCAGTCGCAAAAACCATCAAGCGCTATGATGAAACTGTCTCTCATGAGGACCGTCACAGGAAAAGAAGACCCAGAGTTACCTCTGCTGCAGAATATAAGTTCATTACAGTTAACTGCACCTCAGATTGCAGCCCAAATAAATAATTCACAGAGTTCAAGTAACAGACACATCTCAACATCAACTGTTCAGAGGAGACTGTGTGAATCAGGCATTCATGGTCGAATTGCTGCAAAGAAACCACTACTAAAGGACACCAATAAGAAGAAGAGACTTGCTTGTTCCAAGAAACACGCGCAATGGACATTAGACATTGGAAATCTGTCCTTTGGTCTAATGAGTCCAAATGTGAGAATTTTGGTTCCAACTGCCATGTCTTTTTGAGACGCAGAGTAGGTGAACGGATGATCTCCGCATGTGTGGTTCCCACTGTGAAGCATGGAGGAGGAGGTGTGAGGTGTAGGGGTGCTTTTCTGGTGACACTGTCTCTGATTTATTTAGAATTCAAGGCACACGTAACCAGCATGGCTACCACAGCATTCTGCAGCAATACGCCATCCCATCTGATTTGCGGTTAATGGGACTATCATTTGTTTTTCAACAGGACAATGACCCAAAACACACCTACAGGCTGTGTACGGGCTATTTGACCAAGAAGGAGAGTGATGGAGTGCTTCATCAGATGACCTGGCCTCCACAATCACCCGACCTCAACCCAATTGAGATGGTTTGGGATGAGTTGGACTGCTGAGTGAAGGAAAAGCAGCCAAGTGCTCAGCATATGTGGGAACTCCTTCAAGACTGTTGGAAAAGCATTCCAGGTGAAGCTGGTTGAGAGAATGCCAAGAGTGTGCAAAGCTGTCATTAAGGCAAATGGTTGCTACTTTGAAGAATATAAAATATAAAGTATTTAACACTTTTTTGGTTACTACATGATTCCATATGTGTTATTTCATAGTTTTGATGTCTTCACTATTATTCTACAATGTAGAAAATAGTACAAATAAAGAAAAACCCTTGAATGAGTAGGTGTGTCCAAACATTTGACTGGTACTGTATGTAAATGTCATATTTCAGTAAAAAAAAAAAAAACATTTGCAAAAAATTCTGAAAACCTGTTTTTGCTTTGTCATTATGGGGTATTGTGTGTAGATGGATGAGGGGGAAAAAACGATGCAATCAATTTTAGAATAAGGCTGTAACGTAACAAAATGTAGAAAAAATCAAGGGGTCTGAATACTTTCCGAATGCACTGTATGTTAAGATGTATTGTTAACTTGTATTGCGACATACACTACATGACCAAAAGTATGTGGACACCCCTTCAAATTAGTGGATTCGGCTATTTCAGCAACACCCGTTGCTGACAGTTGTATAAAGTTGAACACACCGCCATCCAATCTCCATAGACAAACATTGGCAGTAGAATGGCCCGTGCTGAAGAGCTCAGTGACTTTCAATGTGGCACCTTCATAGGATGCCACCTTTCCAACAAGTCAGGTCGTCTAATTTCTGCCCTGGTCAACTGTAAGTGCTGTTATTGTGAAGTGGAAACGTCTAGGAGCAACAACGGCTCAGTCGCGAAGTGGTAGGCCACACATGCTCACAGAAGGGGACCGCCGAGTGCTGAAGCGCGTAGCGTGTAAAAATCGTCTGTCCTCGGTTGCAACACTCACTACAGAGTTCCAAACTGCTTCTGGAAGCAATGTCAGCACAATAACTGTTAGTTGGGAGCTTCGTGAAATGGGTTTCCATGGCCGAGCAGCCGCACACAAGTCTAAGATCACCAATGCGCGATTGCCAAGCGTCGGCTGGAGTGGTGTAAAGCTCGCCTCCATTGGACTCTGGAGCAGTGGAAACACATTCTCTGGAGTGATGAATCACGCTTCACTATCTGGCAGTCAGACAGACAAATCTGGGTTTGACGGATGCCAGAAGAATGCTACCTTCCCGAATGCATAGTGCCAACTGTAAAGTGTGGTGGAGGAGGAATAATTGTCTGGGGCTGTTTTTCATGATTTGGCCTAGGCTCCTTAGTTTCAGTGAAGGGAAATCTTAACACTACAGCATACAATACAATGACGTTCTAGACAACTTTTTGCTTCCAACTTTGTGGCAACAGTTTGGAGAAGGCCCTTTCCTGTTTCAGCATGACAATGCCCCCATGCAGAAAGCGAGGTCCATACAGAAATTGTTTGTCGAGATCGGTGTGGAAGAACTTGACTGGCCTGCACAGAGCCCTGACCTCAACCCCATTGAACACCTTTGGGATGAATTGGAACGCAGACTGCGAGCCAGGCCTAATCGCCCAACATCAGTGCCCAACCTCACTAATGCTCTTGTGTCTGATTGGAAGCAAGTCCCCGCAGCAATGTTCCAACATCTAGTGAAAGCCTTCCCAGATGAGTGGAGGCTGTTATAGCAGCAAAGGGGGGACCAACTCCATATTATTGTCCATGATTTTGGAATGAGATGGGCGGCAGGGAGCTTAGTGGTTAAGAGCGTAGTGCCAGTAACCGAAAGGTCGCTGGTTCTAATCCCCAAGCCGACTAAGTGAAAAATCTGTCGATGTGCCCTTGAGCAAGGCACTTAACCCTAATTGCTCCTATAAGTCGCTCTGGATAAGAGCGTCTGCTAAATGACTAAAATGTAAATGTTCAACGAGCACGTGTTCACATACTTTTGGCCATGTAGTGTATTTGCAATGTATGACTTTTCCATACGGGTAGGCCAAAATCAGCATGTTGTTATTAAATCATTATTAATAATGTAGCCACCCTAGGGCCATGAACTACTCATAAAGCATATTTAGAACTTGTATTATTCAAAAACAAAAAATACTGTCATATCGTCAAAATGTGCAAAATATGGTGATATTATATTTTGGCCATATCGCCCAGCCCTATGCATGAAAACTAGTAATCTGTCATTGAATGACAGCAAACACTTCAATTGAATAATCCCGTCCATAGTTCCCACTCCTACTAGGATATAACTTTTGAAATATCGTCATAATATATGCGCAAACTGTTTCTACTGGGAAGCATGCCACATGATTCATTTCCAGTAGAGAACACTGTCTGGTAGTTTAGATCTAAAACGTAAATTCAACTGGCCACAAGATGGAGCCAGGAGTAAAACTATGAGTCAATCACATTTTGCCAGAAAGTTCTGTTCACTTTTGCATAGTGATTTGTTTATCATGGTTTTAATTTTTTCCATCTAACAGAGGTTTGGCACATGCAAACTCCTGTATGTCTGCCTCTCTATCCATCTCTCCCCATATGCAGTTAGTTATTTCAACTGAATGAACATTTTGATTTATGGGCGTTGTTAGGCAGTGTATAATGGCAATGGCATAAAATAACAGGATGGGGCTATGCTACAGAGCCATTGTTTTTGTGAGGGCATTGCTAATTAAGGTATTTTTTGATGTATTCCTTCTCCCCTCTCTCGCCTCCCCTCCATCCTTCTTTTCATCTCCTCTCCTTCCCTCTCCTCCTCCTTCCTTCCCACTCTCTCCTTCCTCCCCTCTCTTCCTCTTACCCCCCTGCCCCTCCTCCAGTCGTGCCACCAGTGCCAGCTGCCCATGCGTCAGGGTGAGCCTGCGGTGTACGCAGAGCGTGCTGGCTACGACAAGCTGTGGCATCCGGCCTGCTTTGTGTGCTGTACCTGCTCAGAGCTCCTGGTGGACATGATCTACTTCTGGAAGAAGGGACAGCTCTACTGCGGACGCCACTACGGAGACAGTGAGAAGCCCCGCTGTGGAGGCTGTGACGAGGTGAGGGATTTGAGGGGAGGGGGAGGCAGGGAGAAGAGGGGTGGGGGAAGAAAGGATGACACTACGGAGACAGCGAGAAGGGGGACCGTGTGACAAGGTGAGGAGGGACAGGGAATGGGGAAGACAGGGGTATTAAAGGAAGAGAGGTCAACAGGAGAGGAAGACTGTTATTCACACACTTTATGTAAATTCAGGTGCATAGAGAGGAAAAAACTGCAATTTTAACAAAAATAGATGTACTGTATGGGAGAGTGGGGTAAGTTGAGCCAAAGGAGTTGAGCCACCCTTGTTTCTAGGAAACCATACACACAATTCTTAATTTGACTAAATTATGGAGTCTGTGAAGGAAGAAACCACTTGGAAAAAGTGGTAAGCAAGTATTTTTGTTATATAATATATATATATAGTTATATTTTCACCAAGTCAAATTAATGTATTGTGTTAGAGGTTTCATGATTCTTGTATCTAAACCAAAATAGATTGTTTTAAGATTGTTCTATACATCAGTTGGGGTCTCTATAAGCTTCAATATGAGGTCCTAAACCTAGCATGAAAGTGCATCCTTGTAGCTGTGTGGGCTAATATAGTCAAAATGTTTACCTTTGGATAAGTTGGGCCAATGGCCATGGGGTATGCTGAGCAAATGGTTGAGCCAATGGCAAGTTGAGCAAATTGAAGTGTTTTCTTCCCAAGTGTAGTGCAAGGCATTATCGCTGGGAGATGATGTAAAGACTGGGCCTGGTCTATGTTAAAAGTGTTTTAAAAAGTACAAACTGTTTGTTAGGGGTTAAGCCTGTGATAAAATATACTTAAAGTGATTAAAAGACGAAAAGCGATTTTGATTGTGTTCAATTTTGTTTGAGAAATAAAGATAGACATGGTTTTAAAAAGGTAGTGGTAATATTTCATTCAATACAGAAATGTGTAGGCGGCTTAACTTACCCTGTCCCGGGGCTCAACCTACCCCATACCCGGGGTAAGTTGTGCCAAGAGACCACTTTTTTTGGACAAGCTATGTTTTCAAAACTGTAATGTTTACATGAATTCTGATTATCTCCAGGGATACACAGCATCCTGAAATATATGTAGATATCTTTGTTTGAAAGAATAATATTTTTCCCTTGACAGAGTGATGCAGAATGTTTAAAAAAAAAAACTCAACCTGCCCCACTCTCCCCTACTCTATTACTCTGGGTTTCTTTATTGCTCTTCAATGTGTTGAATTAACTGTCTACTGTATCATGTTTTGTGTGTCTCTACAGCTGATCTTCAGTAATGAGTACACACAGGCCGAGGACCAGAACTGGCACCTGAAACACTTCTGCTGCTTCAACTGTGACTGTGTTCTGGCTGGAGAGACCTACGTTATGGAGAACAACAAGCCTGTCTGCAAGCCCTGCTACATGAAGAGCCACGCAGTGGTAAGGACAAAGAGGGAGAGTGTATGTGTGTGTGTCAAATCAAATCAAAGTTTATTGGTTGTGCACACAGATTTGAAGATGTTATCGCAGGTGCAGCGAAGAGCGTATGTTTCTAGCTCCAACAGTGCAGTAATATTTAGCAATACAATAACAATACACACATAATCCAAAAAGTAAAAAAATATATCAGAAATATCAGAACGAGCAATGTCAGAGTCCGGAATATAAATGTATACATGGAGTATACAAAACATTCTCTTTCCATGACATAGACTGACCAGGTGAATCCAGGTGAAAGCTATGATCCCTTATTGATGTCACTTGTCTCTATATACATGGGACAGCAGTCTCGAAGCTGCCTGGCGGTAGCCGGCTAGTGACAGTGTCTAAGGTGCTGGGCAGAGTACCGGCAGGTGGCCGTCTAGTGATGGCTGTTCAACAGTCTGATAGCCTGGAAATAGAAGCTGTTTTTCAGTCTCTTTTCGGTACACATGTACTGCCCCCGGTGATGCTTTGGGCTGACCGGTTGCTGTCGGTGCAGTTGCCTTACCAGGCGGTGATGCAGCCCGGCAGAATGCTCTCGATGGTGCATCTGTAGAAGTTTGTGAGGGTCTTGGGGGCCAAGAGGCGCTGTTGTGCCTTCTTCACCACGGTGTCGGTCTGGTGGGACCATTTCAGGTCCTTGGGGATGTGAACACCAAGGAAATTGAAGTGTTTGACCCCCTCCACTGCGGCTGCATCGATATGGATGGGCTTGTGTTCTCTATGCTGTCTCCTGTAGTCCCAATCAGCTCCTTCATTTTGTTGACATTGAGGGAGAGGTTATTTCCCCAGCACCACTCCTCTCTGTAGGTTGTCTCGTTGTTGTTGGTGATCAGGCAAACTTGATGATAGAGTTGGTGCGAAGCCACACGGTCATGGGCGAACAGGGAGTAAAGGAGGGGGCTAAGCACACACCCCTGGGGGCCCCAGTGTTGAGGATCAGCGTGGCAGAGGTGTTGTTGCCTACCCTCACCACCTGGGGGCAACCCGTCAGGAAGTCTAGGACCCAGTTGCACAGGGAGGGGTTCAGTCCCAGGGCCTTGAACTTAGTGATGAGCTTGGGGGGCACTATAGTGTTATAAGCCGAGCTGTAGTCTATGAACAGCATTCTCACATAGGTATTCCTCTAGTCCAGGTGGGATAGGGCATTGTGCAGTGCAGTGGCTATTCTGTGTGTACCTGCTCGTGTGTGTGTGTGTGTGTGTCTGTGTGTGTGTGTGATATGATACCCTGTAGTAAATGTGTACAATGTATATTGTATAGATGAGATACAACTCTCTGCTACATACTTTTGTCTACATTGAATATGTTTGTGTGATTAAACACACATCCCCCCTCTCTCCTCACTCTCCAGGTATGTACGGCCTGTCAGAACCCAATGGAGCCCGAGGCCCAGCGTGTATCTTACGGGGAGTTCCACTGGCACGCTGAGCCCCAGTGCTTCCAGTGCTCCTGCTGTGCTAAGTGTCTCATTGGAGAGCGCTTTATGGCCATACAGGGCATGCTCTTCTGCTCTGTCGAGTGCAAGAAGAAGACCATTACCTAAGAAGAAGACTATGACCCAGAGCAGCGCACCACAGCTAAACCTGACAACAAAATTATTAAAGTCTATTCAAACAATGGTCATTTCCCTTGACCACAAACAACGTGTTTCAGTCTGCAACTGATTCTTGCTCAGATCACAATCAACTCTGCTCCTGATGACAACCAACCCCAGTCCTCTGCTAATTTTAGTTTTCACTATGCTTATTTCCGCTCAAGACTGCAACCAATCATCTGAATAACAGTTGGGACTTGTGCTTTCCTCAATAATGCCTAACCAAGATTTCAGTTTCCAAAGTCAGGCCCTTGGGAACCAAATACTGCCTTAAATAATAATAAATAAATAATAATATGCCATTTAGCAGACGCTTTTATCCAAAGCGACTTACAGTCACGCGTGCATACATTTTTGTGTATGGGTGGTCCCGGGGATCAAACCCACTACCTTGGCGTTACAAGCGCCGTGCTCTACCAGCTGAGCTACAGAGGACCACAGTAGAGAGAACAGTACTTTCTCTGGTTGATTGATTGGTTGATTCTTCTTTTACCAGATAGGAGGTGTAACAAAATATATCTGTCGGTTTCTCGCTTTACATGCACTGTTTTGTTCTACTTCTTCTTTGTTTTATTGAGATACAAGTCTTGTTTCTGCACACTTTTATTTTTACAGTCACTCTTCATCTGAGTGTAAATCAGCTTTGGATTCTATAGTCTGTCTACTACCAAAATACCTTCCTTGGGTTGTGCTCATACCATTCTTCCTGCTGCTTTCTCTCTATAATGTACTACTGAATACTGATATCCAACTCTATACAGCAGTATAATAGCAATAACCTTACAAGAAATGATACTTTATGTGCAGTGTTTCTGTTCCGCTAGAAGCAGCCCTTCAATGTTGTTACAGGCGGATAAGTATCTGACTATGCCAAGTGGCTGACTGATTCTCTCCAACACAGTCCTGGAGAACCCATGGGAATGCAGGTTTTCACAAGTGACACTATTATCGAAAACATCACTGAAATGTGAAGGCAGGTGATGTCATATCTATGTGATCTACAGAACATCTTAAAATGATGACGACTCTCGAGGACCAATGAAATGATAAGAAGAAATGAGAAAGTACTGTTCTCTCTACTGTGGTGTCTAATTATCTACCGCCTCCTCTCTTTCCTTCAGTCTTTTTTATATTATAATATTTTTCCCTAGCGGTCTTCACAATAAGTGCCATTTGCTTTCCTTTGTTTCTTGCTCAATGAAAAGCACTTTATGATATTTTCTCCTCACACTCTTACAGCCTAATAAAGGTTTTTGCCATGATTAGTCCCGTTTGGTTCATACTGCCATACAGGACATTTAACAGTCAACACTCCCACAGGTGTTAACGACAGACCATTTAGAACGTAACCTGTGTGCATGTGTATGTGTGTGTGTGTGTGTACTTGTGAGCGCATGTGTGTGTGCATCTGTGTATGATTCAGTTGCCAACATAGCTAGCGCACCCAGTGTCGCTAGCAGGCTAATGTGGCCGCTACTGTATTTCACACGGACCCCCCTCTCCTGGAAAAAAAAAAGAGCTCAGAGAGTAGCCTTGTTGTGTTTAACCCACTCGGGGGAAGCGGTGCACAATTCAAGGAAGCCCCCATTTCTCTCCGGCCCCATTGTCTTTAGTGGCAGCCGGCCCAAAGCAACGCAGCGGCTTCCATCCCCATACTGTAGGCTCACCTCTACCAGGCTTATAGTACCTGTAGGTAGGGTGTATCCCACATCCCTCTCCTGACCTGTACACTCACATCAAGCCCTGTCTATGTGTTTCCAATAGCAGGGGAACACTGAAGAATGATGGTTGTGTGTGTGCATAGCTGGGGGGTTTCTCTCTACAATGAGAGCCAGATGCACGGCACACTGCCTGCAGTGCTCTCTTGTGAGAGATGGATGATCCCGCCTTCACATGTATGTAATCATGAATTGGATTTACTTTACATTTCCATTTCAACATCTCTGGATTGTGCTGAGAATGCTGGCTCGTCACCCAGTCTCTACCATAGATCATCATCTCGCACATGAGTGTATGTGACAGCCAGCCATGCACCCTGGATTAACTATATGACTTGCGTAAACTAGCTATGAGTCAACCTCACATGAAGAACAAGTCTTGCATTGAAACAATCAGAGAGGCTCAGAACCAAATAATATTATATTTTAAGATTGTATCTAGATTCTACTAGCTTTGACATTATGCACTATGTTATTCACCAGCATACGCCCATGGGATCCATCAACCACAGTCTAGGACCAACTGGCAGGTAGCTTAGTGGGTAAGCGCGTTGTGCCAGTAACCGAAAGGTCACTGGTTCTAATCCCCGAGCCGACTAGGTGAAAAATCTGTCGATGTGCCCTTAAGCAAGGCACTTAACCCTAATTGCTCCTGTAAGTCGCTCTGGATAAGAGCGTCTGCTATATGACAAAAATGTAAACTGGAAATACCATGGGCTATACCTCAATGTGCTCTGTAATAGGAAAGTGAGGCACATTCTTTGGTAAACCATTGCTGTGACTTTACGTCCCTACACTACTGTCAAAATTTACTTTTTGGATATGAAAAGGACTTCTTGAGGGAAAGTTGGCAGTTGGTGGCATATCCATGTTATCAGTATGAAAACAAACCAGTGAAACCCATGTGAAGTTCTTTAGGACAGTTTGGCTCAGTTCCTGCAGAGGGCACACTTTCACATTCTATGGTGTTGGTCCATTAGCTCTAACTAACCAGTATGGTCACAGTACACTCACTTTTTTAAGTATATTTAGCTAGCTTTGGCTATGACACTAAATTCCAATGGACACAAGGTCTGTGATGTTATACCGTACTTGTTGTCTTGTCAGCTTCAGTTGTGTGAGAGGCATGCAATGTAGGCACTTTAACGTAACTCTGCAGGGTAGATGGGGGTCTGGTCCAGCTGTGCCAAGTCAAAGCCAGAGGTATGTGAAGGTCTAAACACCTCCGATACTACCTGAGGAGAAGCAGCAGCAGCCATCTCTGGCTAAATATCAGCTGTCTGGAACCCAGATAACACTCACCACACGCATTCCTTCACCCTGGAACGAAAGGGAGATGGAGAAAGAGAGAGATGGTGAGTGGATGGGAGGGGAGAGGAAAAGAAAGGATAGAGGAGACAACTTTTAGGAATGTTCTTATGGAAGGAAGAGGCCTGGAATGATTATCTACAGTAAGTTAATATTTGAAGCTATCTTCAATGGTTGTCAGATATGCTGAAGTCGGGATGTCTTGTGTGACCTCTCTGTCACTGTATGATTTACTGTAATGTTACTGTACTGTACTCTGTTTAAAGCTCGCCTTTGACCTCTTTGGCTTTGTGCTCAAATGCAAGTCATCATGATGTGGGGAACATTTTCCCCTAAAATGGTAGTAGTAAAAAACATCAGGGTAAGAAAAACAAAAACAAATCATAGGGAATAGTGTGACAGACCATCATGCAACCTGTACACCAAAGGATGGGGGGCTTAGGTGGAGTATTGGAGTGAGGCAGCCCCTTAGAGAGCAATAGATCAAATAGTGACAGACAGTTGAATAGGTTGTCATTAAAGATAATCATGATAGCTACAGTAACCTGTTTTTAAGTAGATCCCTCACCCAAAGAATACCCATTTCACCCCACTTTACATCACAATAACAAGATGGTTTGTGTACATCAGTATTATGACTTGAAGCCGTTAGTAACTTCCTTTCTATATTTTTCTCCAATTACTTTCTCATTTTTTTATATTTTCTCTCCCTCTCTTTTTCTACCCTCCCTCTTTCCTTTCTATCTCGCACCCTATCTTTGGAAGTTTGGTTCCAGGGTTTGGCTCAGGCCGATGTCCAGAGGCAGCCAGGCAGAGATACCTGTTAATTTCAGTGTGTGACTCAGGCTCTCACATCATATGGCATCCAGATTCCTCACATGATTTATATAGAATCCAGGATAGAGAAGATAGATAACCTAGGAGTCCTAGGCTAGGATATACTGACCACACCTAACCATTGCATCTAGGAGTCTCTCTCTTTTTCTTTCTCTCTCTCTCGCTCTCTCTCGCTCTCTCTCGCTCTCTCTCTCGTAGGCCAGTAGGGGGTCCAATTATACCAATTCCCAAAGGACTGTGTTGTTGAGACTGAGTCCTGGCTGGCGTTGTAACAAAACATGCACTTCATGTCTCTGTGTCTGTGGGGCGTCTCCGTTGAAAACATCCCTTCCCTAACTAATCCTACCACTGCTGCCAGCAGCACCTGTTGGTGAGGACTCAGTGGAAAAGTGGAAAATAGCTGCCTGTCTGCCATACATCACATCAACTCAGTGGATTCCACACAACATGTTCTGCTTATGCTATACTGTCTAATGAGGTAAAGTGGAGGGTCAGTTTATATCATAGAGATATAGAACCCACAGTTTTATCTCTATGGTTTATGATATCAGTGGTGGTCTGTGCTGTTTAAGATTAGGGAGGACAATTTTTTTAATGAGCATGACCGTTCTTCTATTACAGCATATTGGATGACTGTCATTCATATTCCATTCACCCAGCTCAATGTAACATCGATAGGTTTAGGCTGTAGCAACCCATCATGCGGTTGCAACAACCTAGCCTACAAATGAAGTTTATAACATTCAGGTCGAGAGACAAATTGGAGTAATCAAGGTGACAGACAGTGACACATTCAAAACCGCCTTGCACACTCTTGCCTGCATCTAGCTGGTCTAGGGTGTAATCATTAGGCTAGTCCAAACGAGAGTTACTATTGGACAAATTTAGGTAGGTCCATCCCAGTTTCGTTTCGTTTGCTTTTGTTTTAAGAAATGTCTTGCAACAGAATCGGCGGAATGAATACACCCCTGATCACCAGCACACGCAGTTCACTTTCATAGCAGCCATACAAACAGCATCATCACCTCTATTTGCTCTCCTCATCTCACATTTTCCCTTCGCTTGTGGACTTGTGCACAACACAAC